AAGAGTGGCTGGTGCTTTCTAGCTGCTGCCTTCCTAGTTAGCAGCCCAATGAGTAACCTCTATGCCATCAGGGCTCCCTGTAATCGTTTATGGTAATTTCTCTTCTTATTTGCACACTACCCTTGGATAATCCCTTCCCAGGATGACTCTAGGTTAAGTCATATAGCATGACATTAGGGAATAGGATGCATATGGAATCTTAGCAAGAACACCCGTCCATCTTCTTTGGAATTGTAGACCGTTAGGTGAAAAAGTCCAATTTAGCCTGCTGGAGATTGAGACCCCACATGGAGCAAAATCAAACCATCTTAACTGAGACCCAGAAACACCAATCAGCCTGCCAACTATCAGGGATTTGAATGTGGCCTTACTATATCACACTATTACTAGTCGGCTTGACAACTGACTACAGGCCAAGATTCCATCTGGTAGAGATGAGAGAAGCCAGCCTAAACCAGAAGAACCATCAAGTCAACCCACATGTTTGTGAGTTAAATAAAACAGTTGTCATTTTAAACCATCAAGTACTGAGTTGGTTTATTATACAATAAAAGTTAATGAACATACCAATTGTGGCCTGGCTGGGGGCTCTGCTCCATGTCTTCAATTCTGAAACAAGCTGATAGACCAGCCACTGTCAGAAACATTGCCAGTGGCAAGGGCATAAAGGGCATCCACTGGGGTCTGGTAGTTGGTTTAATGCTAGGTCAAGTTGCTTCTTCTCACATAATTGTCACATGACCCTACAAAACCACAGTGGGCTAGAAGAGCAGTTCTGCTATCTACTCAGAAAGTGACATTGTCTGAGAGCCCCATTAATGATTACCCCTCACAGATGGACAACTAGGACGGAGTCCAAATGTATTCAGATGCTTTCTTCAAAGTAGTCTGTTAACTAAGCATCACTCATTCTAATGTAGTTGTCTTAGTCTGTGCTGATGAGAGGAACAAATTCATAGACACTCACATGTGTATAAGAAAGAGGTTTATATACAAGGGAAATTGAATATTGAGAAAACATCCCAGCCCAGTCCAGATCAAGTCCATAAGTCTGATATTAGCCCATATGTCCGATACCAATCTATAAATTCCTCTTCAGACTCACACAACACATGCCATGACGCCGAATGCAGGAAGATCACAGGGCAGTGGATGGAAAGTCCTGTAGATCCAGTAGCTGTGGAAGCATCTCAGCGCTGGCAGGGGTCTCCATGTGGCTCCTTCAGCTCCAAGGCTCTAGAGTAGCTCCATGTGTCTTGTCAACAGGAATTTCTCGCAGGGAGTGAGTGTCCACCTCCAGTGAGCCATTTATCTCCTTAGCACCTCCAAATGGGGTCATCAAGCTGTGACCTGATTGACAGGTTAAACTCCACCCCTTCACTCTTAAGTCTCAAGTTGACAGCAGGTTATGTAACTACCACAATAATAGAAATGTAATCAAGATTCTGATGATAGATTGTGACATTTAAGTTTTGTTTCTTCTCTTTTTTTTTTTTGAAACAAGACAAGATTTTTTAGTGACTTAGTAATACTTTGGGAGAAAATTTGGTGAATTTGGTTTAGTTGGTGTAGCCAGAAACCAGAAATCTAGATACTTAATAGTTTTCAACCACTTTTTAAAATTTTGAGCTATTTTATATGTCTAGGCTGCTTAAATAAGATACTTGTAATCTAGGAAAACATTGCAACCCTTTTCTACTAGAGAAATTACATCATTGCAAAAACCATTTTCAAGACCAACCAAACATTACACACAGGATAAATTTCTAAAGAATGTCCAGGAAACGGAAGTCAGTGACTGGGGAATTCCAGTTCATTAGGGTGACAGGGTGAAGTAGTGGCTATGAGAGCCCTCAAAGAGTGCAGAAATATTGGCTTTATTCCCAGCCCCCCCCTTCATGAATATACGGCTGATCAATTAAGACACTTCCTCCAACAGTGAAGCAGAACAGTTGTCATTTGCCAACTTGCAGGCTCATATATTTGTTATTTTGATGACTCACATAAAGACCCTGGCAATGATTTCCATTGTTCTTAGGGCCTCCATGCACATTTGACTCCCACATGTACTTGTCATTGGCTGCTGTTGCCTGGGCCCCTAACAAAGTGATCCCATATGCCATGGAATGAAATCTACTCTGGACCCTAGGATCGGGTACCTATCAAACCACTGGGTTTCCGTTGGCTTATTTCTCGAAGTTGATCATCAGACATTTCTTCCTGCTCTCTGTTAGTCTGGAAGTTCTGCGGGAATCTGTTCAGCATGTTAGCAAAGCACAAAGCTCCACTGGCAGACAGGTGGGGGAGGTACAGTGGATGGGAATCAAACCAAGGTCTCCAGCATGGAAGTTGAGAATTCTACCACTGTTGTCACATGCACTTACCAAAAGGAAAACACTGTCATAGAGTTGATTCTGACTCATAGTGCTCCTATGGGACAGGGCAGAACCGCCCCTTGTGGGTTTCTGACAATGGAAATCTTTCCAGGAGCAGAAAGCCTCATCCAGTTTCCACCACATGCACTTAGGTCCTGTAAATCACAAAAATTCAAGTAACACAAATTTCTCATCAAGAAACACCGACAAATTCAGAACATGATAATTAAGACAACAGTGTATTTTCTGCCCCCAGTGCTCATGATACCATATGTTTTATGTCTGAAGACTTTCCTGAAAAGATATTTTCTCCACATGTGTTATGTTTGTGTTGTTGTTAGGTACCATCCAGTCATTCTGACCCAGAACAAGCGTATGCCCAACAGAACAAGACACTGCACACTCCTGTGCCATCCTCACAACTGTTGCCCGAGCCCGTTGCTGCAGCCACTGTGTCATTCCCTCTCATTGAAGGCCTTCCTCTTTGTCGCTGCCTCTAGGAAATACGATGTCCTTCTCCAGGGTCTGATCCTTCATGACAACATGTCTGAAATATTTAAGATGAAGTCTCACCATCCTTGCCTCTACGGAGCACTCTGGCCTTACTTCTTTCAAGACATGCTGTTTGTCCTTTTAGCTGCCCAGAGAGCTTCCAATATTCTCCCCCAGCACCACAGTCCGAATGCATCAATTCTTCTATGGCCTTCCTTATTCAATGTCCAATGTGCACATGCATATGATGCAATAGAGAATGCCATGGCTTGGGTGAGGCACACCTTAGTCCTCAAAATAGCACCCTTGCAGGTCTTGTGCAGCAGATTTACCTAATGCAATATGTCTTTTGATCTCTTGATTGCTGCTTCCATGAGCACTGATGATAGAGCCAAGCAAGACAAAATTCTTGACAACTTCCAACCTTTTCTTCGTTTATCACGATGCAACCTATTGGTCCAATTGTGAGGATTTTGGTCTTCCTTACATTGAATTACATTTGTGGTAAACAGAAAATCTTCCTCCATTCTGTGATAAATTTCACAATTGCCACAAATTTCTTCCTGTTCTCCATCCATCCCCATACAATATGACTTTGTAGCTTCTCGCACCAAGAAGTGAACTCTTCCTTTACTCCTTGAGACAGACTGACTCTTTTCACGTGCATGACAGAATAGCAGCAAACCCGGGCGAGCAGGGTACAGCAGAGGAGCAGTGAGAACAGGGAAGGTCCTCGAGGAGATGGATGAGCCAGTGGCTGCAATAATGGACTCAAACATGAGAACAATTGTGAGGACGGCGCAGGAGCAGCTGTTGTTCGTTTCTGTCGTCCGCAGGGTTGCTGTGAGTCAGAACCGACTTGATGGGACCCAGTAATAGCATATCAAGCTGACACTAGTGGACAATTGACGATAGGCCATTATTCAATCAAGTAGAGATGAGGGAAGGTGGCCTAGGTCAGAAAAAAATTGCCAAGCCAACCCAGATGTTTGTGAATCAATACAATTGTCATTTAAAACCATGAGAATTTTAGCTATTTTCCAAGATCAGCCAAGTCTCATTGAAATAAAAATAATTGCTCCACTGAGATTCCCCACAAATGGTTGACCTGTAGAATGATGAGCTTAAAAATGAAGTTGTTTTAAACCACTGTGCTTGGAGTTATTTGTAAGCAAAAGCTAATTGGAGATTTATAAAGCTAGTGTGGGGGTACAAAAGTGTCTAGGAGAAATATTTTCTTTGATGCTCTTCTGCTTCGGTGACTCCTTGGAGGTCTTAGATTTACTGAAAATAGTGTTCATAGCATTTGGCAAATGCCTGCCAACTAGGATGTGATCTAGAGAGGGGGAGTGCTGAATACCCTTTAATTATAGTCCAGTGTCCATGAAAGTCTCGTTAAGTACGTGATAAGTGTGAACTTATGTGTAATTCTCTGAGAGGTGCTCTGCTCTTATATAACATGTCTAGAAATCAGCTCTCTCCCCTCATAGCTTTTGCTACTTAACATTTCTGGGCACATCAATCTCACTTTCAGCTATCAGCATTTGTGATGCAGCGCTATGCTCTCTCTTGCCTCCAAAATATCTCCCATACATGTAGAGAGAGAGTAAATATTTCTAGGTAATCATTCCCCCCAACTGCACACGTCTATAAATGATTAATGAGTGCTGATGGATACGTATCCCACTTCTGCACCAGGTAACTATGCTGCATATATTCTGCAGTGTCTCCCAGAATCCTCTAGGATTTTAAGCTCCAGTTTCACACAGAATAACTTAATGATGTTTCCTTTACTTGTCCTTGCTCCCACCGCTCTACCATTGCTTTCTGGGATCACTTTGGACCAAACTACTTGCTCTCCAACTTTGACGGAAGGTCTACTTGGGGGGAAACTACATGAGAAACACAAAGACTTTTGAAGCTCCAGGTTTCTTCTTTCCCATAGTAAGAAGGAGAGAGACAAAGAAAATGCCTTTCTTTTTTTGCAAGTAACAGTGCCTCAGGCATCTGTTGCAGAAGGCAAGGATACGTGCTAAAAGTATAGATAATGCAGGGATATAAAAATGACCTTTGGGGGGCGGGGCGAGGGGGGCTGTGCGCCGGCGGCCGCCCGGGAGCGCGGCTTCCCGCAGAATGGGCAAGAAGCAGGTGCGCCCCCCACGAGCTCTTCCACCTGTGCCAAGTACTGCCCAAGATGATATCCCACTTAATCGTCCTAAGAAAAAGAAGTCCAGGCCAAAAAACACACTTGTCAGTACCTCTTTGGATGGTCTTGTCCAGGCTGCTGTCCGTGGGCCTTCTGAAGTCAGTGAGCCAACGAAAGAGCCCACGGAGCAGCCAGAAGCTCCTGGTCAAAGGAGAAACAAGAAGACAAGACTTCCCCTTGAATTGGAGACTTCCTTTCCCCAAAGAAAGGCATCCAGTCCGTCTTCATTACGCAATGAAAATGGCCTGGATGTGGAGCCAGCTGAGGAGGCAGTGATTCAAAAACCTCGAAAAAAGACAAACAGGAAGACGAAGCCACCAGAATCACAGTATGCCAATGAGCTAGGCGTGGAAGATGAAGACATAATTACTGACGAGCCAAACAGTGTAGAGCAGCGCACTGTCTTCACTGCCCCCACTGGCACCAGCCAGCCTGTGGGCAAAATATTTGTGGAAAAAAGCCGGCGGTTCCAGGCCGCGGATCGGTCAGAGCTGATAAAGACCACAGGAAATGTAGAAATGTCCATGGACATGAAGCCCTCCTGGACGACTAGAGATGTGGCTCTCTCCATACACCGGGCTTTCAGGATGCTTGGTCTCTTTTCTCACGGCTTCTTGGCTGGCTGTGCCGTGTGGAATACTGTTGTGATATATGTTCTGGCAGGAGATCAGCTCTCGAACCTTTCCAACCTTCTGCAGCAGTACAAGACCTTGGCCTATCCATTCCAGAGTCTCCTCTACTTGCTTTTGGCTCTAAGTACTGTCTCAGCTTTTGACAGAATCGACTTTGCTAAGACATCGGTGGCAATCCGGAGTTTGCTTGCCTTGGATCCAACCGCTTTAGCATCTTTCTTGTACTTCACTGCTCTGACCCTATCTCTGAGCCAACAAATGACAAGTGACAGGATCCACCTGTACACACCTGCCTCTGTCAATGGGAGCCTCTGGGCAGCCGGAACTGAGGAGCAGATTCTGCAGCCGTGGATGGTGGTGAATCTGGTGCTAGCTCTGCTGGTTGGATTGTCCTGGCTCTTTTTATCTTATCGGCCTGAGATGGATCTTAGTGAAGAGCTGATGTTCTCCTCAGGTGTGGAAGAGTCTCCTGCTCAAGGCCCAAGGACCAAAGGCTCCGCATAAGACCAGCTCACCTGCAGAATAAGGATGACCCAGTATTTATAAACTGTCCCCTTTTTAAAATGTATTTTTATAAGACTTGTCTGTGTATTTGTAATTGATTTTTTTGATTAATACTGAAAATTTTCTCAAGATGATGGAAAATGTTGAAATTATATCTGCTATTTATACCCAAACAGTAATTTTTATAGCTTTGTCATCTTAATGCAAAGGTGGTAATAGATAGAAATTAGCAAGTGAAAGTGCTTATTTTCTCTGATTACTTGAATTTATAATCATTATCTTAAAAGAACTAATGTAGAAAAACCATAATTTTAGTATTGTAAAATGTATCAAGTTTAAACATAAATTTGGGGAGGAGTGTTGGAGGGGAAAAAAAAGACATTTTTATTTATTTTTGATGTCTCTTTGCAGAATAAATTGAAATATGACATTTAAAAAAAAATGACCTTTGGTGGCTCTGGAAAAACAATGACAACATCATTTTGTAACCTTGAAAAGATTTAAGAACCTTTTGGGTTATTGTTCTTAGGCACTGTTGAGTCATTTCAACTCAGCGCCCTTACGTGTGAGAGAATGAACCAGCGGCCAGGCCTGTGCCGATCTCCTAGTCACTCTGATGTTGCAGCCCATTCTTGCAGCCACTGTGCCAATCTGTCTCACGGAGCATCTCCCTCTTTTTCGATGACCTTCTCCTTTACCAAGCTTGAAGTCCTTCTCCAGGGATGCTCCCTCCTGATGACAGTTCCACGGTGTGTGAAATGAAATCTCACCATCCTCACTTCTTAGGCTCATTCGGACGGTCCCCCTTCTGAGACAGGTGTGCTTCTTCTCCCGGCAACCCGAGGGTGTGTTCAGTATTCTTTGCTGCCACCATAATTCCAAGGCACCGGTTCTTCTTTGGTCTTTCTCATTCTTGATCCAACTTTTGTAGGCAGATGGAGTGATCGAAAATCCCATGGCTTGAGTTAACACCTTTGTCTTCAAAGGGGCACCTTTGCTTTTAACCCTCACAGAGAGAGAGGGCAGCACAGTTGTCCAGACATTTGAATTTCTGACTGCTGCTTTCATGAGCATTGATTGTGGAGCCAATAAACATAACATCTTCAACAACTGCAATCTTTTCTCCATTTGCCATGATGTCGCCGATTGACCCAGTGGTGGAGGTGGTTGCTGCCGAGGGTGCAATCCACTCTGAAGGGTGCAGTGTTTGATCTCCACTCGTAAGTGCTTCAAAACGTCTGCTTTCAGCAAGCACGTTTGTGTGAAGAAACTTAGAGTGGGGGGATGGATGACATACACATGGATGTTACTTGATGGGATAAAATTACAATTATCTGAAATTCTAAGGCCGATACATTAAAAGGAAGCAGTTTGAGTTTTTCTCAATAGCATGGCTTATAAGACCCTTCATTTAACAATGTACAAAACTTCATTTCTGCTTGGCGTTTTTTGTTTATTTTGTGGTATAAATTTCACAATAAGTCACTGACGATATACAGAAATAAAATAAGGTATGTCCACCATATGTAATGTGAACAAAAGCTCGTGACAAGACTTCATTAATTATGACCAAATGACATTAAGATAGACTTTTTCTTATCTCTGTAAAATATCTACTTTTTGACACTTTTAGTTTGTTTGGGTGAAGTAAAATCCTCATCTATTTTAATTTACTAGCTCAGGATGCTAATCCAGTTTTCAGGTTACCTATGGCTATGTGGGGTTGAAATATGTGTACTAGCTTTTTAAAAAGATCATAAAACAGGCTTTTATATTTAGGTTTGTGGACATAAAAATGTATTAATTGCACCCTCAATTGTCAAGGATAATTTGTTGCATATAGAAATCTAGGTTAATATTTCTTTCCTCTCAGCACTCCAACACACTCACATGTTACTCCACTGCTTTCTAGCATCCATGCTTTCAGAGGAGAAATCAGCACTTGATCTTAGTGAAGATTTCTCGCATATACTGATTAAGAGACCTCTCCCGCTTTAGCTTTGGATTTTGAGAATTTTATTATAATGTACTTCCGTGTGGATCTATTTGGGTTTATTCTAATTGAAGGATTTGTTTTTTTCTCTTTTCTTTTCCTTTCTTTTTGCTCTTCTTTAGTTTTAAGGGATGTGTAAGTTGGTGCTTTTTGTTGAATTAGCGGACTTTTGCCATTATTTCTTCAAAACAATTTTTTCCGGCCCCTTTCTCTTTTTCCTCTTTCTGACCCTCCCTGTACACAAGCGTTTGAAAGACACTAACTACAAGCTTGACACTCTCAAATTTCATCGTTGGCTAGAGTTAATTATTACCAACATGTGAGGTGAATACACTTTTCTTTCAAAGTATAGTCCTCTTTACAAAATATAACTGATTGCTGGTTCTCTAAACTCCCCTATCAAGGTTCCAGTAGAATTTATTTTCTAAACACTCTTTGAGGATATAATTACCATTTTATTTTGTTATTTTAAGGTTTCCATTTGTAGTCATACACAAAATACTTCATGTAAAGACTATACTGAGTACATTTAAGAATATATTCCGTAAGTAGGCCATGAATAGTGCTGGATATACTATGGGAATTCAAGTTGTTCTCCATTAAATTAAATAACATTTTCACAATTCCTTGGTCAAGAGCAGAATATACACCATTATAAAACTATATTGATATTAATATACTAAGACCATTTGAAAACATTATACTCTGTATTTTCATTACAATTGCACTTGGTCTCATGAAATATAACAGTCTACTGATGAGTGGAAATATCATCCCTGTTTTAAGGACATTCTGACAAAGTTGCATTTACTATGGATCCCCAAAGCGTGCCAAAGTTCATTTTGATCAAATTAAGAATGCTTCACATCAGCACTACAAAGTAGCATGAAAATGTTATTAAGAAACTCAAGTTAGATGGAATTCTAGAAACCTTTCAGGAAGGCTAATATATGTTAAGAAATAATGTGTGTATGTGTGACTTACTATTATTCATCAGTAGCATCAGTAGTTGAGCACAAACCATTTCTTTAGGGACCTTCCTATCAATATTGGTACAATAAATGTAAATAACATTAAGAACATATATAAAATCAATATATAATAAAATAATCAAAAAGAAATGAGTTATACATATTTCATACCTTTTAAAAAGATAATTTACTTAATCTAATTTTAATAACAGCTATTTTTAAGAACTGATTTGCCAAAAAAACCCAGTTCTAAATATCTAACAGTTGTCTCCCATGAGCCAGTACAAGCTAGCTTTATCCCGTATCTGTAATGGCATTTACTTGCTAATTGGATGGAAAGGAAACAAAACCTTGCAAGATTAAAAATACTCTTATCCACAATCCCCTAACTGTTCCTAAATGCCCTGGTTAATGGTTACTATTTATAGAAATACAGGACTGCAACAAGTAGGGACAAGTCATTTTGCTGATTCTGCTGTGGTTAATCTTAGCCACATATAAACAAGCCATTTCAATATGTGGATTAAATCATGTCACCCCACCCCACCCCCAAATGCGTTCAGTTGGCTTGACCGTGTTTCTCAGTCTTCTGTGATTGCCCTCCATTTTGTGACCTGATATAATCATCTTGTGTGTGGTAAACCCTCACCTCTTTGATATTAATGAGAAAGGTTTAGTGGTGATTATGTTAATGAGGCAGGATACAATCTACAAAGTTAGACTGAATCTTGAGTCAATCTCTTTCGAGATGTAGATGAGATTAAGTAAGCAAGCTCAGAAAGAGAAACCTGCTATGGCCAAGAAAGAAGAAAAGAGGGCAGATCAAATCCTCTGGGCTCTGGTGCGTATGCTGAGAAACTCTTAAATGCAGGGAAAGATTGCTAGTAAGGACAATACCCCAGAACTGACAGGGAGATAGTCTTCCTGAGCCTAGAGCTGGGGCCCTGACTTTGAACTTCTAGCCTCCTAAATTGTGAGATAGTGCATTGCTCTTTGTTAAAGCCATCCACTTATGGCATTCCTGTTATAGCAACACTAAATACTAAGGCATCATCCCAGAGAGAGACATGGAAAACTCCTTAAGAATATTTCAGGGAAGAAATCCCAGCTTCCCTCAGCAACCCTCTCAGGAAGCCCCTTGTTACAACTAACCTAAATCCCCTTTGCTGTAGTGGAGGCCCATTGCTGTGGTCCTTGTCTTTAGTGGAGGTAGAAACAGCTGGCTACCATCTCTTGCTTTGCAACTCTTCGTGGAAGGAAATGAAACACCCTGAACTGGCTTCCTAATCTATTCAGCTGTAAAAACAGGCTCTTCTTGAGCAAAAACAAATAATAAATTAAACAGAATTGGGAGTCGAGAAGTGCTACATATTGTACTCCAGGGAAACACCTCAGCCAGGTTATCCTCCCGTCGGCACCCAATGATCAAAGGTGCAATTCCCTTGGAAACAAATTAGAGGAATGAGACAGATGGGAGTATTAATCAAATGCCTTGTAGTGCTCTGGGCCATCTTACAGAATATCCTTAAGTAGGAGGCAGGGTAAACTTTATCTTATAATAAGGTTGTCAGACCTTGGTAAAATGTATGTTGCCTTATAGACCAATGCCTTGTTTTGTATATCCAATGCAAGAACTCTTGTTTGTTTGTTTTTGTTTGTAAACAAAGGGGTATGCAATCATTCAGGGCAGCTACCGAAACAGTCTCTTAGGTGATACGCCATCTACTCTTCAAAGTTCTGCCACCTAATTTTAATGCTTGTCTCTCTGGAAAGAATGCAAAAGGACAGGCAGAAGAATGGACTTCCTGGTGCAGAGGTCAACTAGCAAAAAGGAAAGAGGCCCAGTTGGAAAAGGGTGGAAAAGCACAGTAGCTTGTATTTTCATCCACGCATGGCAGTGGCATACTTGTGTGGGAGAAACAGAACTGGGAGGTTGCAAACCAAGAAATACTCAGGAAACAGGTTTGCTGTCTATAGTATTTGCCCTCTGCTCTCTTTGGTCACTATTTTTGAGTTCAGAGTCACCTCTAATATTACATCAGGAAACTTTGACTGATTTTGGAGTGATGATAAGAGTTCC